AAGATAGCATACAGTGGGTAGACGAATTACTGTTGGGCAATTGATAGAAAAGTGCATAGTTATGATGTTATTCATGGCAATGATCATGTATATAGGCATTACGTCTCTGACAAGTAGACCAAAATGATTCTACATCTACTACTACTCCACTTCCAGAGTGCTTCTATGCTTGCCTCTCTACGTATTAAGTTCATAACAAACAGACTAATGGATGAAGTATGTTGACATAATGTACACAGAATAAAACCAAGCAATATGATTGAACCCTGTCATTTTACCCTTAATGGCAACAATACAAATACGTGCCTCGCTACCCCTTCTATCACGAGGTGAGGACATTGCAAGATTGAACCCACTACAAAGTACCTCTCATGCTAAAGATAAATCAATCTAGTTGGCCAAAGCAAACAGATAGATCAGAGGGGAATACAAAGCTATAACAAGCATGCATAAGACAATTCAGCAAAGACTCAATTATTTTCAAAGAATAATCTGATCATAAACCCACAGTTCAATAGTGGCATAAATAGCCGCCCCCTACAACCATTCGTTGGCTGACTGCTCGAGAAAGAACTTGACACTTGTCATTTGAGAGCACCCCTTCCTCTGGTGACTTTAAGAGAAACCTAATTGAGGAAAACCCCAACCAGAGCCAAAGTGATTGAGCATCACTGAAGAGTTTGATCTATGTGATTCGATCCATGTTACCTTTGAAGACTTTCATTCTTCCAAACGGTTAGGCGTCAAGTTCTGAGCACCCAAGAGTAATTGTGGTGTGTCGGTGAACAAGTTTGTGACGATTTTGGATGTCTACCTTGAATACCTACCACGAGTGATTGGGCGAGGTCTGCTATGACCTTAGATCAAGAGGAATATGGTGAAGACTTAGTGTCTTCAGAGTTCAACTCAGCCGCCTCAACCAGATGTATAATTGATACAACAACTGGAGCTAGTCTACCAAATCATTGTGTCTTCATCGAGCCTACCTGGTTTCAAATTCCTCATCCCTTACCTTTAAGTTATTCCGCTGCTGAAGAATCTGTGACCTACCTCTGAAGAATTTGAACTGAAGACTTTCATCATGTTGTTTTTCATTTCTTCAGTTCATCTTCCTCATGCTTGAATGCATGTATGGTTACTTGTTCTTCACTTGTATGTATCCCGTATGCATGCTTTCTGTTTCTGTGATGACTTAGTTTTGCTCGTGTTTCTATTTCTTCAATCTGATCTTCGCCAAATTCATCAGAGTTTGACGAATTTATAAAAATCCCCCATTCACCCCAAGTAGTAAACCTACCTTTCAGTATGTTGTATAACTGCCCTGCATGTGCGCATTGAAAGGGTCACGACACTTGTATCCCAAACTTACCCCTTGGACTATAAGTTCTCATCTTCTAGCTCCGTTCTAGGGTTAGCAAAGTATATTTTGAGATCTTGAAAGCTTTGCTCCTATCTAACCCCTCTTCCATGGAGAGCAAGGCCTCCATGTGAGAAGATCCCTTAGGATTCAAGACCACTCTCAAGGGAACATCCATCTTGGATACAAGACCCCTCTTGAGGGGACATCCATCTTGGATACAAGACCCCTCTCTCCTTGAGATTGGGATGAACTAGCTACCTATTTGCCTACCTATGTTGGATTTGGATCTTGTATCTCCTTACGTGTATGTGAATTTAGTGGATGTGACTAGATCTTGTCTTGAGTGTTGTTTCCCTCTTGTGTTTCCCCTTGTATTCTTCGTGTTATTGGTGATTCCCCCCTTTCCCCATCCAAGTGTGAAAAGCTCACTACCTAGGGCTTGGCCCTACATCATTATCCCTAATAAACTAGAAAATTCTCTTCTTCTTCATGAAATGTAGGACCCCCCCCCCCCGGTGTCCCTCTCGAGATGTTACTCAGAAAAATAAGTCGGGTGTTGCTTGGCTTTCATTTAATCCAAGGGTCAATGAGAGGACACCACATTTTCATAAAGTAAGTTGAGTGTCTAGAGGGCGCACACGACATAGGTGTAGGCCAAGTGTTGACTCAACGTCTTACAATCCAGCCAGTGGTCATCTGGGAGATGACATGTGTACGTCGTATAAGCCAAGTATCATGTAGGCCGTGCACATCATAGGTATAAGCCAAGCGTGGGCCCTCGGCTTAGATATACACTGTGCTTCGTCAATAGGATTGGTGCTGGCCTTTCACTGCTGTAAGAGCATCTCCAACAGCCGCGCCAAACTAGCGTCGTGCCGCAAAATTGGACGTTTTAGCGCGCGCGCAACTGGTACAGTTGCTCCAGCGGGCGCGCAAAAACAGCACGCGCGACATATGTAGTTCAGCGCGCTGGCCGAAACGCAATCGCACGCCGCTAATTTGCTACGCCCGCTCCCGCGCGCTGGACTCTCGCGCGCTCGCTCTCAACTCCCACACCCCATTCAGCCGCGTCACCGTTGCCGCCGCCCGTGCCCCCGGCGACCGTTCTGGCGCTTCCCTGGCCTATCCCCGTGCCGCCGCAGCTTCTCCCCCCCCCCTCTTGTCCCGCCGCCCCTCGCGCGCGTCCGTCCTCCGACGAACAGCGCTCGCTGCCGCTCGGCGCCCGCAAGGTGTTCGACAAAACGCCTACAAGGTATGTATTGCTCAAACTTCATGAATTTGGTGCATGTTGATTGTAGTTTTTATAGCATAGTATTGAACATAGTAGATGAGTTCGTCGTATGATTCTTCTGAAGAAGAATTTGATATGGAAGAGGAGGAGGATCTTGCAATGATCCTAGCTATGCATATCAATAAACCGAAGCACGGTGGTTCGGTTATGGGTCGGCAGAAAATTTGGAGAGATAGGATTGATGCCCATAGCAGATTGATGAGGCACTATTTCGTGGGGAATCCCATATACCTGGAGTCGTATTTTCGTCGCCGGTTTAGGATGAGCACCGACTTGTTCAGGCGCAGTGCAGAGAAACTAGCGAGCCATGAGCGGTTTTTTCAGCAAAGGAGGAATGCCGCCGGAGAGCTCGGGCATAGCACCTTTCAGAAGGTTACAGCCGCTTTGCGTATGTTGGCATACGGTATCCCGACTGATCTAGTTGATGATCACTTGGCTATGGGTGAGAGCCAAGTCATCATATGTGTCAAGCGCTTTGCAGTCGGAATTGTGCAAGTGTTTGGCGAGGAGTATTTGAGATCTCCCAATGCTGAAGGCACCGCAAGGCTATTGATGAGAACAAAGCTCGCGGCTTTCCTGGCATGCTTGGCTCAATAGATTGCATGCATTGGAGTTGGAAGAATTGTCCAAAGGCATGGCATGGGCAATTCCACGGCCAAAAAAAGGTTCCACTATAATCCTTGAAGCGGTGGCCGATCAGGAGACTTGGATTCGGCATGCAATCTTTGGAATGCTTGGATCTTTGAATGACATCAATGTTGTCAACCGATCACCACTGATGAATAAGGTTGCAAATGGTGAGTTGCCACCGGTGCAGTTTGTAGCAAATGACCGTACGTACAATTATGGCTATTATCTAGCGGATGGCATCTATCCAAAGTGGCAAACCTTCGTGAAGCCATTGAAAAAGCCGGAAGGTAAGAAAAATCTTGATTTCCACAATGCTCAGACGACGGCTAGAAAAGATGTGGAGAGAGTTTTTGGGATTTTGCAAGCCCAATTTGCTATTGTGAGAGCACCGGTTAGATTTTGGGATCAAAAAATGCTTTGGTACATCATGCACGCTTGTGTGATCATGCACAACATGATCATCAAGAATGAGCGTGGTCAAGATTTAGACTACTCACAGTATAAGCTCTTGGGACATCCCGTGCGAGTGCGACGGAGGGCTGAAAGGATGGCCCGTTTTATTGCCTCCTATCATGCCATTCGACGTCCCGCAACGCACAATGATCTTCAGAAGGATCTCACTGAGGAGTTGTGGGCATGGCATGGACGACAAAAAGCATGATTTCTGCGTTCGACATTGTATTGTTCATGAACTATTTGTTGTGTTTATTGCAGTATTTATTGTACTGAACGATAAACTATTTGTTTGGGTTGTAATAATAACGAAATTGAACTATTTATTGTTGATTTATTTTGTTAGTTTGATCATTTTTGCTTCTATTTGAAATGTATATGTTGTTTGTGCAAGTCACGCGCGCTGCAATTTTTTACCCGTTATTGGAGCGGCGCGCTCGCGCTGCATTTTAGCGCGGCTGTTGGAGCCAGCGCTGACGGCCGCGTAAAACCAGGCGAACGGCGCGCGGCAAACTAATTTTTAGCGCGCGGCGCGTTGCGCGCCTGTTGGAGATGCTCTAAGCGGAGCTGCCCATAAGCTACATTCGGCTTATGACGAAACATCGACTATGGTTGCATGTATGTTTATTTTAAGTTTTTGGTTATTATTATTATCCTTCTAGTCCCCGCCCCCGGATAATGACCAATATATATAAGATTAAAACATAGAACCTGTGTTGCAACCTTTTGGAAGCACTACCTGTCCGTGTCTGTCTAGCAACTAGTACTAGCTAGAACAAAAAGGACACCACTTTCTGCTCTCATAATGCAAAATCCTATACAAATGAATTCAGCCCACTGATCAATAGTATCTTATCACCGACTTAAACTAGTATACTAAGTATCTGCAATTAACAACAGCCGACGAAACCATTCGATACCACAGACACTGCCGCTCCATGACATGGAAGGTGAGATGAGACACCAAGAGTAGTAAACAAGCCACAACAATTTCATAGACCAACTAATAGAACTAATAAAGTACCATCACTGGGCCACTAATCAGTAAACCAAACCCGCCCCCTATCATCATCCACTAATGAACAAGTGGCAGCAAAGGCAAAATAAGCACATTGTCACCACACACACAATGCAGAGCGACCATGATTGACCCCCGCTATAAGAAGCACTCGAAAGCCACTCCCTTTCCTCATCTCTCTCTCGCACACCCATCCATCATCATCTCCTCTGCCTAACAAGCTAAGCAGCTGAACTCAAGCAGCGGCAATGGAGGGCAAGGAGGAGGACGTGCGGCTGGGCGCCAACCGGTACTCGGAGCGGCAGCCGATCGGGACGGCGGCGCAGGGCGGCGGCGCGGACGACAAGGACTACAAGGAGCCGCCGCCGGCGCCGCTGTTCGAGGCGGAGGAGCTGACGTCGTGGTCCTTCTACCGCGCGGGGATCGCCGAGTTCCTGGCCACCTTCCTGTTCCTGTACATCAGCGTGCTCACGGTGATGGGCGTGGTGGGCAACCCCTCCGGCTCCAAGTGCGGCACCGTGGGCATCCAGGGCATCGCCTGGAGCTTCGGCGGCATGATCTTCGTGCTCGTCTACTGCACCGCCGGCATCTCCGGCGGCCACATCAACCCCGCCGTCACCTTCGGGCTGTTCTTGGCCAGGAAGCTGTCGCTCACCCGGGCCGTGTTCTACATGGTGATGCAGTGCCTGGGGGCCATCTGCGGCGCCGGGGTGGTGAAGGGGTTCCAGACCACGCTGTACATGGGCAACGGCGGCGGCGCCAACTCGGTGGCGCCGGGGTACACCAAGGGGGACGGCCTGGGGGCGGAGATCGTGGGGACCTTTGTGCTCGTGTACACCGTCTTCTCCGCCACCGACGCCAAGCGCAGCGCCAGAGACTCCCACGTCCCCGTAAGTACACCGTCCTCTCTAACTAGCGCGTGGAATATATCATTTCGTGGATGATGACCAAATTAACTGATGTGTGTATGGATGGACGGATTTGGTGCAGATCTTGGCGCCGCTGCCGATCGGGTTCGCGGTGTTCCTGGTGCACCTGGCGACGATCCCCATCACCGGCACCGGCATCAACCCGGCGCGCTCCCTCGGCGCCGCCATCATCTACAACAAGAAGCAGTCGTGGGACGACCACGTAAGAAGAATCAATTAATTAGCAAATCTAGGACTAGTTAGAGACTAATTATTCATGCTTCCGAGGAATTAAGCTTGATGATCATGGTTTTGGACATGCAGTGGATCTTCTGGGTGGGCCCGTTCACCGGCGCGGCGCTGGCGGCCATCTACCACGTGGTGGTGATCAGGGCCATCCCCTTCAAGAGCCGCGACTAGTAAACTCAATCAGCCATGGAATGGAATGGATGGAATCCTGTCGTTCATCGACCATCGTTTGTGCTGATCGTTGCTCCTGTAATTACCGGTCTGCCGTACTGTTCCTGAGCGAGCGCGTGTGTGTGTCCTTCAGTGAGTGTGTCAGCGTTACTAGTGTGGTCAGTGCACTTCTTCACCGCACCCACCCAAAATGTGTAAATTTCGGTACTTGTGGTTCCCTCTCTTTTGTAAGCAAAACGTGTGTATAAAATAACAAGGAATGAAGATCGAATTAATGATCGATCTTCAAGTGGAGTGCTGTCACATCGATACTTGTCCCGTTCCAAAATATTTGGGATTTCTGGGTTTGTACTAAGTCAAACTTCTTTAGTTTGACTAACTTTATAAAAAAAATGCTCTACACCATTAAATATACAGTACATGATGAAAATATAGGTTAATGACACTAAATAAGCTAATTTGATGTTGTAGATGTCGGCACATTTTCTAAAACCTTGCTCAGATGTAAAGAAGTTTGATTTAAGACAAACCTAAAACTTCAAGTCTTTTGAAATGAAATAAGTACATATGAAAATAAAATGTTCTCTATATGTGTGTCATGTTGTGCTTAACTTTTTTTTTAACACAGTACAGACGCAAGCGCTCATATACACACACATACCACTCATCCCTATGAACGCACACACGCACACCTCCATAGGACTGAGCCGGCATATCATCTTGAAATTTACGAATTCACCGTAGGCACCTCGTCATCGACAGGAACGTCTCCTCCCACTGAATGCGCATCGCCGGAAATCCTGAAATAAACCCGGTAATAAATGCGAGCACCAGGATTTGAACCCTGATGGGCTGGGGATACCACAGTCCCTCTAACCATTCAACCACAGGTTGTTTGCATGTTGTGCTTGACTCTAAGCACTCACGCAAGATGGAGCTGGGCTGACTGATGGGTTTAAGAGGCCGAAATACCAATACTGACGGGCTGAAAATACGGACTGATACCCTATTTGGCGCCTAAGGCACCAAATAGTGTTCATTTGGTAGAACGCACCCTCTCGAGCGCTACCACTGTAAGTAGGACGACCCATGCAGCTCCTTTCACCGGTTTTGGAGTCATCATTTTTTCTTTCGGTTTTTATTTTTATATATGAATATTTTCAAATTTGTAAACCTTTTTTGTGATATTTCACAAACTTTTTTTAATACATGAACTTACAAAATTTCGTGTGCTGTTTTTAAAGTTCTTAAGCTTTAAAAGAATAGGATGTTCTAAAAAATGATGAGCATTGTAAAATTCATAGAATTTTTAAAATTTCATGGACATTTTACAAAATAAATGAAAAAATTTATAATCCGCTAAAAAATAACCAATTGTTTTGAAATTAACAAAAAACATTTTTTTTACTTGAGCCAGTTACTGCAGAAAAAGGAGCAAAAAACAAGCAAAGAGCATGGGCGGGCGACGGAGAAAGCAGTATAGTCGCATTTTTGGACAATCAGTTCACTTTTTTCTCCTAATTATGCACTCTTTCATGCTAGTGATCATTGTTGAAGCAATTTGTGCTACGGGAGATGATTGCCCATTCGACAGAGTAGCGGAACATGGTCGTAGATAAGTTATACCACAAATTACAAACTTGGAGCGACCACAAAGGAAATAAGTAGCAGAACTATAGCTATTTCTTTGGGGGCTTATGAAGCTCAACCCAAAATTTTATTTTAGAAGCCTGGTAAAAAATCTGAAAATGATTCAAATCCATTATCACAGCTCACCGGAAGTACAAAGCACCTCAAAATAATAAAAAATACGTTAGGACTAGCCGCCGACGCACCGTTTTTGCCGCTCCTCTACCAGAACCGGCTTGACCTTGTCGATGACAGCCGGGAAGTCTTTGTACACGTGCCCCTAAGGACCACGCCTTGAAGCCGCAATCGCTGTCGTTGAACCCTTGAATAGATCTGACGCACCTGACACAAAATCTCGCCACATGACAAGAAACCCTAACCTCACCGCCTCAAGGAGGCGGCAAGAATCTACACTGGAGATCCATCAACTACATCCAGATGGACGAACTCGAGGAGGATCGAAGCCCCGTAAGACGGACTCGAAGAAGGAGCGTCGACATCCGCCCGAGCACCGCACCTGTGAGGATTAAAAAAACCCTAACCTAAACTATTATCCGGAGCGGAGGAACTGGGATTCCCCTCCCCGCCACCACCCGCCGGAGCGGCAGGCATAGGGGTGGCAAATTCACGGGCTCACCGATAAAGGTCGGAGAGGAGAGTTTACTCTAGCCGCTAAAGGGATGGGGGAAGAGAAACCATTAATTAGTAGGCTTCTAAAACAAAATTATATGTTGGGCTTCCATAATAAGCTGGGGCGGGGGAAACTTATTTCCACAGCCATCCATAAGCCCCAAAAGAACTGGCCCTTAGTGCTTTTGTTTATTGCACCTTAACCGCAACTCCAATGGTGTGCATCCAAGCGAACACATCAAACGTCCGTGGGACGTGTCCATGGACAACTGACAGGGGTGGCCATCCAACCTCATGCACCAAATGCCCATACCTTTCAAAAAAACAAATGTCTGCCATGCACCCTCACTTGATCATCGACTGATAGCAATTCAACCACACATTTAAATCGTAAAAGTGTCAGGTGTTCAACAACAAGTTTTTAAAGTTCACCGGTCTCAAAAATCATCCAAACTCCTCAAAAGTGGTCTTCATCTCAATCTTTCTATCCTTGAGGTTGAACTTCTTCATCGACACACATTGTTCATCCAAGTGTTCTACCTCTTGAGCTTCATCCAAAATGCATCAATGTGAAGGGCTTTCCCTCCATCATTTGGTACAGTGTGATAGCGCTCACGAGCTATACATGATGTGATCATCGAGTTACAACATTAAGTGAATCAAAGAATTGACCAACTCATAGAGAAATAAGAAGCAAAACTTACGATATCCATGATTATCATGCTTGTTGGCCACCTTCTTTTCACTTGTACAATTGTACCGCAATACTTATGACGGTGTTTGAAATGGTGTAGCACATTGTGATCATGGATCAATTCAAAATTTGTACGGCGTGTAGTCCTTGTGCTCTTGAAACCAAGAATGCACATGTTGCCAAAACAGTGTTCCCTTTAGCTAGCTTCATGCCTACAAACACCGCACTTGTTGCCAACCGTGCATTGCACAAAAATGCATCCTCCCTCACCGAGTACTCTGCCATCATGTTTTATTCATGTTAAATAACAAGAATGTCAGAAGAAACTCTCAATGGCATTGTGTCAAATATTTATCAAGCATGGTGTCTGTCATGGACGACGTTGGTAGGGGCGGACAATACCCAAAAAGCGGCCTGATCCGGGGTGCAATGGCGGTGAAGTACAAGGCACCTGGGCATCAGCCAGAGTGGTATAGAGGTGATGGTGGTCTTGGTGGGTGTGGATATAGAGCAAGGGGAGGCACAAAGTGGGGGGAAATAGCTCCGGGGGAGGGGTTTTGGGTGAACCTAGTGTGTCAGAGTTCCACGTGGCGAATGTCCGTACTCTTGCAAACTCCCAAAGTGTTTTATTTTGGTTTGGATATATTTTGGACGTCCTAACCATGCCACTGACCTTTTGTGCATGGCGTTGAATGACAAAAAGTGTATGGGCCGTATGGTTCTAATATTTACAGGCGATTTGAGGAGCCGCACTGAAGTTTCCCTAAGTAATGCCCGAAAGTGGCATCTATAAGAGGGAGAAGTAAAGGCATCTCAATATTATTAATGACTTGGACTTAAGCCGAGGTAAATGTGCTTGGCACGTTGGACCGTGTGGCCAAGAGAGAGGTTGAGGAGAAGCTACAAAAGCTGCTCAAAGAAGAAGAGATGAAGTGGGCTCTTGGAGCATAGGTTAGGCAAGTGATTAAGGGTGACAATAATACCCGGTTTTCCATATGATTACGAATGGAAACATAGGAAAAATAGAATTATTCAGTTAGAGCAAGACAAGGGTACAACTATAGGACACGAGAACCTAAAATTGTACATAACAAAATACTTTAGAAAACACTCAATGGCATTGTGTCGCACGATGAGCAAATGATTGGAGATTTGCCGCAACTGGGAGCTGATGAGAACGAGATTTTGCTAGCATTGTTTTCTGAGAAGGAGGTGTTCAAGGCAATAGCACAAATGAAGAATAATAAGGCGCCAACCCCGGATGGCTTTTCAGCTGAATTTTACATGCGGTGTTGGGAAATCATTAAAGAAGATCTTTTACCCATGCCTCATGATCTATTTAATGGCCATTTACAATTATTCCACCTTAAATTTGGAACTATAAAATTGTTGTCAAAGAAAGAGGATGCAGTTTGCATCTAGCGGTTAAGACCAATATGTTTACTTAATGTGAGCTTTAAGATTTTTACAAAAGTTGGTACTGATAGACTCACACCAATTGCGCATATTGTGGTGCAACCAACTCAGACGGCCTTCATGTCGGGATGACATATCTTAGAGGGTGTTGTCGTTCTTCACGAAACATTACACAAAATCCACTCAAAGAAAGTAGATGGTTTGTCTTCAAAGTGAACTTCGAGAAGGCATATGATAATGTCTAAGTGGCCATTTCTACGGCAGGCCTTGCATATGAAGGATTTCGATGCGGCCTAGACAAAGCAGGTAGAATCCTTTGTACAAAAGGTCATGTCGGGATAAATGTTAATGACAACATAGGTCGTTATTTTCGGACGCCAAAGGGATTGAAGCAAGGAGATCCAATGTCTCTAATCTTATTTAATATCGTCGCTGACATGCTGACAGACCTAATTGGTCGGGCCAAAGAGGATGGTTATGCGGGTGGGATTATTCTTCATCTTGTGGATGGTGGGGTTTCCATTCTTCAGTACGCAGAGGACACAATTATTTTCGTGGAATATGATATGGCAAAGGCTAGGAATATGAAGCTGATTTTATGTCTCTTCAAACAACTGTTTGGGTTGAAAATCAATTTTAACAAAAGTGAGCTTTTCTACGTTGGATACGCCAAGGAAGAGCAGGGAAATTATTGACAG